AACATAAGACTTGTAATACAGAGCTCAGTAAAGCATGGATTACATAGGACTTTTCCACTCACTTCACAGCTGCAAATGTTTTCTTCTCTAACTACCACAAGTCATGAAACGCTCTCCAGTTTAAGCTCGATTCAGCCATGTATTTGTGAAATCAGCACGACAGGCGGTTCTTCCTCTTTTTCTCCTTCACAACCTTCCCCATGACATGCGCATGCGCGCCCGCACAGAGGCTGCATGCTGGAAGGCAGAGGAGAGTCCTTAACAAGCTGCTGTAAAACAGACATGTTAAACCAGATATACCAGATAAGAACCAATTCCTCCTCCTGAGCAGCACGGCATTTCAACAGAAATACAAATACCAGATTTGTTAAATGTAACTGATTTGTACTTATAAACATCCAGATGGTACATGACTAAACAAATTGCACATATTTCCCGGAGAAAAATGACCTTGATATCCAAGTTAAAAAATTAAGCACTTTATTTATGCTTCTCAAGGCGTAAAACAAACTAATGACAGCTTCAAGTAAAGACCTGTATCTCATAGTTAGGAGATTGTCAGACACGGAAAATGCACGTACTGAATGGTCACACTCTAAGGCACAATGAAGGAGCACGCACAAATATCAAGAAAGCATACAAAGATGGCATTCGAGTTCTTTCTATCTCAGATTAACTCTTTTGTCTGTCATGATTTAAAGCTCGCTTTTTGTATGTTAGGCTGAGAAAACGATTCAGTAAGGGAGATCAATAGAGCTCAGGATGTGGAAGCCATGCCCTATTCAGCTGTTATATATGTCCCTGCTTCAGAAGCACAAGGCGTTAAATGCAGGCATCCTGATTCCACAGAAATTCACCTTGACCTGAGATGACTTCATTCTGGCTGCAAATTTCAGAGGTTATTTTACGTAAATGATGTATATAGCAGCTGGACCAACATATCACAGAAGAATATCTAGGAAAAAAAATCACTCCACAGAAGTCACTTGTACATGTTTTATCTCCTTATTCTCTCTCTCTTCCTCCTCATCAAAAGAAAAATACTTCAGAACCGTGTGCGCTAGACTCACAGATTCATAGTTAAGGCTATGAAGTCTTACTGAACCCAAAGCAAGCAAGGAAAAGCTTTAACAATGAAATGAAATAAAAGCATAACAAGCATTAAGTAGCTACACTTTTGTACAGCAATCCTTCTCCTTTTAGTAGCACAGGGAATGCAATTAGTAAAAATATCCCCTGGTAGTCTGCTCTTTTTCTTAATTAAAAATAATTTTTAAAAAATCACACAATTTTATCTTAGTTTTATTTTAGTTTACAAAGCGAAAACTGTTCATGTACCCTACTCCTGTTTTCTTTCATGCGCACAGCAGAGTATCACATTGAGCATTTCAAAGGTTAAAAAGCCAGATTTGCAGTTCTTCCTGTGACGCTCCTCACATTCCCCTGCATGCTCGTCCTTTACACAGAATGGACAAGCAGTTTGTCATAGCATAGCAAAAAGAATGGGATCGTGTAAGTAGAGACCAGATCACAATACACATGCCTAGGAATCAAACTAAGGAAAGCAATATGACAGGTAAGTTTAGATCTGGATGCTGCCGCTGAGTAACAGGTGCGTTAATAGGATATGAGAAAGAAGGAGCAGAGATGTGATGGAGAGGTATTTCAGCCTCTTAGAAGGCACGAGATGTACATCCCCTTACAGAGAATGCCAATCCTCTTAACTGCTTCTTCCCAGCAAGACTGGAATTCTGAACCTTTGGTAGCTTGCAACATGCCTGAATGACAAGAACTAAGAACTGGCAAGAAAAACAAAAAACCGTATTACTGAAGAACAGACAAACTAGGAGCTCACACTTGCTGCAATATGGTTTGTCCAAGGACCCAGCCCAGCTCTTGAAGCTTAACCAGTACCAGAGTGCTCCTGTTTCAGACAGTGCCATGAAGCACAGACGGAAATGGAATGGTAGCAAGCCCACTAAAAAAGCTTTCTTTTGGGAAAGCAAGCAGTTGTAAGGGCTGGACCACATTCAGCAACCCCGCTATAACCTCCTTGGGAGCCAAATAATTCATTTCTGACTTTTCAGCACTGAAAATATCATTGCCACTGGCGCTTTTGCAGAAGCCTGGGCCTTCTCAGTGTTCCAGCAATTACTTTACTTTCCTGTACAACACAAGTGACATAGGGGAAATGATGATTTTCAAGTGTTTATGTCTCAGGAAAACTTAATTTCATGGGGCAGAGAAATCAAACCACTTATTTAGCCTGAGGACTCTTCCTCTTGCCAAACTTCAATGGCTTTTGCAAACAATAGGGTTTCACAAAGAGATCATACAAATTCTTTTTAATGGAAACTATTAGGCAACCTAAATATAGAGACGGTTACCAGTGCCCTCTTCAACACAGCGTGTTAGAGTTCTATTCAGCTTTCTTTACTCATACCTCTAATGAACTTCAGCAGGAGATCTGTCCAAGAAATGAAGGATTATTACAGCTCTAGTTTCCTTTCATTTGTACAACATCTTTCACCTAGAAAGACTTCAAAATGTTTTAAAGGTCACATATAGAAAATTACTATACTCAGCACAGCCTCCTATCAAGAGGAACACAGTAATTTATCAGTACCCAAGCAAAGATACAGAACAATTTAGGCTAGAAAGTAAATAAGAAAGCCATGTCTACATGAAAATTTAGATCCTCAGTCGAGCAACAGTTCTCCAGTAAAACATACAGGGATTTCCAACCAGCAGATAGGATTCAGCTTTCCATCTGACTCACAGCACATCTAACTGGCTCCATGCTGGGCACTGGTTCATTACAAACCCAAAGAAAAGAGTGCCACCTTGGGAGTCTGTCACGTCCTTTCTTGCAGCACCCAGGATTTCTCTTGGATGTCTCCCATCCAAGAACAACACGGTTTAATCATCCACAGTGACACTACCATGGAAAAAGTTAATTCAAGTCCATACCTGAGAGTTGCCTTCAGAAGTGTAACAAAATACGATTGAGGGATTTTAAGAATTACTCCCTCTAATCTTAAAAGTGCCACCAGTTTTAAAGATCATAATCCATACCTAGCCCTTAGCACAAAAGGTAACTCTTCTGGAGAGAGGAAAATGGTTCAACAGTGAAAACACACATAAATCTGACTCTGCACCTGAATATGATTCTGTGAAATTAACTGTACACAATTAGTATAAAAACATGCGAGTTTTAATCAACTTAACCTAATTTCCAGTGGCCTTTAAAAGCATTACACTTGACTGTGATTGCCTGGTTTCCCATCTGCAAATCTGTTCACATTTAGCGAATTTTAACACTCAGAAGCAGACATCAAACAGTTCATCACAAAAAAACAGATTTCTCTGAACTAAAAAAAGGTGATTTACTTCACTGCTTACATCACAGAGGCATTACTATGTCTAGTAGACATAGATTTCACTAATTTTAAAAAAAAAACTCCGAAATTTGGAAGTAAGAAACAATGCACACTTAAGAACTGTGCTGAAGCATCGCCTCCATCCATACAAAAATTAAGATTCAAAATGGAAGACAAAAAAGACCAACATTCCCAGTGCCATCAGAACTCCACGGTATCGTTATTCTGAACAACACTGATAAAAATGTCTAATTCTAAGGGTGGTAAGAGTGAATGGTTTAATAGGGCCCCAATTTGGTGTCTTGGACTTCACTTCCTTTAAATAAATAAATAAATAAATCCACCCAAACAGCCTTTTGTGTCTCCTTGGCACCCTAAAGATTCCTCTCTCCATAGATACAAAGCTTTACTTACCACTTCACATCTCAGCTCAGAGCTGCACCTAAAACTGCCTGGTCTAAAACCTCTCCCTGCATCCTAGACCTCAAACCCATATAAACACACGACCCAATTTAAAGCGAATGGGAAAATTACACCCACAAACCCCGTCAGCCACGCATCGTTTCGGAGTTTAAACAGAGAAATAAAAATGAAGGTATCAGATAAAACTCTGCATATCAGAACGCTGTGAAGGAGAAAACGGAAAGAAAAAAAATCACTGTTCCTAAAATACGTTCAAAATGTGTCATAGTTCAAAACCTATAAAATATTCAAGAAGGAGGGGAAAAAAGGCAACGGTGACATAGGTATCTGAGAACTGCTTGTTTTGTTTGTTTTATCTTAGTGCTCTCATCCAACTGAGTTTCCGGGTCAGCGGAACATAATTTTGAAGTCACTTTGTCTATAAGACTGGCTGGAGCCTGAGGATGGCTGCAGCCTTCAGCCGTGCTGCTTTCCCGAGCTTACATTCATCCCCTTATTTTGCTGAATGTTACCAGTTGGAGCACATCTACCTGCGATACAACAGAACGCCACACTCATTGCTGGAAAGCACGCTGTACGTGACAGATGCAATTCCTCTCAGCACATTTACCTCACTGATTGCCTTATTTATGACATATATATACATATTCGAAGCTGAAGTTACGAGAGTACTTCCGACACGCGCTCCAGTTTGCAGAACTCCAGGAAATCAACTTCAGAAATAGAGACGCATCATTCTCACCACGCATCTGCACTTACAAATTCAAATGTGTAACATTTGTTGCAAGTCATATTCAGCCCTGTTTTGAATGCTATTTGAAACGCAATTGCCGCTCACCATAGGATCGCAACTTTTATTGCCACTCAAACTTCTCCGGCTGACAGTACAAAGCAATAAGCTCGATACCCTAACAAAGGACCCTTCAATAACGCTCTCCCCGGCCAGCAGTCCCGCTGGCTGCATAAAGCCCCCACTCCCCTGGTGTCACACTGCGCGGCACGTCAGGAGGGGCAGGAACCAGGTAGGTCACCGTGTGCCTTCTGACGGTTCGAAGAGAACAGGACGCCGCAGTTCCGCCCGGGGCACGGTTAGCTGGCAGTGGGGAGGGGGGAACCCCCCGGCCCGGCTTCCCCCGCCGAACGCGGCACCGCTGCCGCCGCCGCCTCGCGAACCGGGGGCCGGCGGCGGGGACTCACCGTGTGGAGGTGCCCTTCCTCACGTCGCACATCATGCACTTGAAGGCCTCGGCGCTGTTGCGGAAGGTGCAGACGCTGCAGTCCCAGTAGCCCTCGTCCGAGGAGGGTTTCGGCTGCCGCTTCGGCCTGCAGAGACACAGCACGCGGGGCAGCGCGGGGCGCGCCGCCCGACACCGGCCCCCCCGGGCGCCATCGCCGCCGGCCCCGCGCACCCGAGCGGGCCCCGGGAAGGCGGCGGCGCTGCCCTACCTGGTCGGGCTCTTCTTGTCTCCCATGCCGCCTCCAGACGCGTCCCCGGCCCGGCCCCGGCGCGGCCCTTTGTGTATTTGTCAATAAGGAGGAGCGCGGGGGTCTCTCGCCTCTAACGGGGACCCGCGGAGGAGGAGCCACCGCCGCAACCTCCAGCTGTCGGGGAAACTCCTGCCGCCGCCGCCGCCCCCTCCTCCCTCACGTGTCCCCCCTTCGCCAAC